TTAGTCGATTTTTCCTGATAATTAGGTAGTTTTAGTAGTTGGGTAGTTTCTAAAGCTTCTTCTGAAAGTTCGCCAATGGGTAACTCGAACATTGAAATAATGTTGGCGCTATGTATCAACAGTTTACGATCCGTCAAAGGCATGTAATACAAGCTGTGAAATGCTAAGTATCGATCACTTTTTTCTTGTAATAATGTTTGTTTTTTTGGGAATATCAATTGGTTTTCCGCTTGCTACTACTCTCAAAATCGTACCAAATTTTTCGATGAGAGTTTCGTCAATTCCCTTGATAACAGCACTTGTAACAGGATAAGAAAAAAAAATAACTTAGCCATTTATTGATGAACTTCAAAAATTGTGGTACTTCTAGAGTTCCCAGGGTCTGTAGATTATTTTGATTGTAAAAAGTTAAAAATAGGGTCGTCTACTTTAAACAAAAGCGAAAAGAGTCGTTACACGTTTTTTAAGGGGTGTTTATGGGTTTTGCAAGTGGCATAAGATACATAAAATAGATTAATGTGCACAGATATCCATAATTAGCAAGAATACAGTCATGGTTCCTATATATAGTGCCTGGAGACAATGGAACGGTCCTCCGGAAGAATCCGGAACATCCATAAAATTGGTCAATTCACGAAACTGATCCTAGAGCTCCGCGGTTTTTTTGAAAACTTTAGGAACTGAGATATAAGAAATAATTTGGGTTCATGACATAAACATGGACCCGGATGACCATGGAAGCGTGTTCAGGAAGATCCGAAACGTCTGTAAAAGTGGTCAATCCATGAAACTGATCCTAGAGCTCCACAGTTTTTTTCGAAAGCACGTGGAACTGTAATATAAGAAATAATTTAGGGTCGTGAAATAAACATGGTCCTGGATGGTCATGAGACCGTCCTCCGGAAGATCCGAAAGATCCTTAATAGTGGTCCATCCATGAAACTGATCCTAGAGCTCCGCAGTTTTTTTTTTCGAAAGCACGTGGAACTGTAATATAAGAAATAATTTGGGGTCGTGACAAAAACATGGACCCGGATGGTTATGGAACCGTGCTGTGGAAGATTCGGAGCTTCGGTAAATTGGTTCATCTATGAAAGTGATTCTAGAGCTCAGCAGTGTGCTATAGGAAAAAAAATAATAGTTCATGACGTAAACATGGACCTGAATGGACATGAGACCGTCCTCTGGAAGATCTGGAACATCCTTAAAAGTGGTAAATCCATGAAACTGATTCTAGAGCTCCGCAGTTTATTTCAAAAAGTATTAGGAGCTATGTTATAAGAATGAATTTGAGGTTGTGACATAAACATGAACCTGGATGGCCATTGGACCGTCATTCGGAAAATCCGGAACATCCGTAAAAGTGTTTCATTCCTGAAACTGTGAAAAAACCGTTATTTTTTTTCGAAAATTTCACAGTTCGAAGTATTTTCGAGAAAACCACGAAGTTCTAGAATCGATATCGTCGATGCATAACTTTTACGGATCTTCCGGAAGACGGTTTAATCACAGACAAACAGACATAACACTGGCAATTTGTTCATCGAACACGCATTTAACGGTCAATTTAAATGTTTTTAGTTGGTAATACCGCCACCTGTGGCGCGCATAGTCAATAACCCTTGAGTTTGACGTTTACACACTACCGCCATCTGTTCAGCGTACTACCCATCACAGTATACTCAACAGATGGCGGTAGTGTTTTAGCAACGATTTTTTAAATTGAAAAGTATTCAATGTGTTATGTCTGTTTGTCTGTGGTTTAATGGTCAATCGGGTTCATGTTTATGTTACGACCCCGAATTATTTCTTATATCACAGGTCCACGTGTTTTCGAAAATAACGTTGAACTCATGACTCAGTTTTATGGATGACTATTTTACGGATGTTACAGATCTTCCAGACGACGATCCCATGGCCATGCAGGTACATTTTTATGCCATGACCCCAAATTCTTCCTTAAATCACAGTTCCTAATGTTTTTGAAAAAAACTGCGGAGCTCAAGGATCAGTTTCATTGGTTGACCTCTTTTACGGATATTCTGGACCTACCAGACCTACCGGTCCATGTTTATGTCATTATCCCAAATTATTTCTTATGTCACAGTTCCTAATGCTTTCGAAAAAACCGTTGAACTCTAGGATCAGTTTCGTGGATTGACCACTTTTACGGATGTTCCGGATCTTTCGGAGGATAGTCTCATGGCTATCAGGGTCCATTTTTGTCACGATCCCAAATTCTTCTTATATTGCAGTTCCACGTGTTGTTAAAAAAAAAACTGCGGTTCTCTAGGATCAGTTTCATGGATGGACCACTTTAATTGATGATTCAGATCTTCCGGAGGATGGTCTCATGGCCTTCTACGTAAATGTTTATGTCATGACCCATAATTAATTTAGTTCCAAGTGTTTTCGAAAAAACCGTGGAGCTCTAGGATCAGTTTCATAGATTGAACACTTTAACGGATGTTCCGGATCTTCCAGAGGACCGATGATGATTTTTTTTTAATTCTTTATTTAGGAGATTTTCAGCCGCAGGCTGGTTCATCTCCGGGCTGATGATTATGTCATGAACCCAAATTCTTTCTTTCACAGTTCCCAATGTTTTCGAAAAAAAAAACCGCGGAGTTCTAGGATCAGGTTTATGGATAGACCACTTGTACGGATGTTCCAGATCTTTCGAGGACCGTTCCCTTTATCTCCAGGTTCCATATATAGGAACCATGACTGTATTCTGGCTAATTATGATCATTTATGCCCATTAATCTAAATTATGGATCTTAAGCCACTTGCAAAACCCATAAACACCCCATTAAAAAAACGTGTAATGACTCATTTCGCTTTTGAAAACAGTAGACGCTTTTGAAAACAGTATATTTCTGCAATTAAAATAATCTATAGAGCCTAGAAATTCTAGAAGTACCACAATTTTTGAAATTCATCACGAAATGGCTAAATTATGTCATTGCAAACTTGCTGTTACACGTTTTTCGGAGGCCTCGTAGTCGGCGTAAAGTATTTTACCCACCGTATTCGGAGTGTTAATAGGTCTGCAAAAATTTGTAGAGGCTGGCAGGGGGTTGTTCCGCAAAGTTTCTTCTGTTTCTGCATCAATGAGTTTGAGAGGAACCATGGCAATTCAGAATAAGAATTCGTCGGTTGCATTTGAATCCGAAATTTTTTGATAATAAATGCTGTGACTTGTAACTACCATCCATTCCCCACTTACAAACTAATCTTGCTTTTTTGGGGTGAGTTATCTGTATTAATTTAGTGATGCCATTAACTGTTTGGTTGAGCAATTCTTGAAGATCTACCATATCAGATGTCTCTGTAACCGAAACGTTTTTTGGGATGATTTTGTTCTTTGCTTGGCTTAAAGCATACATACTTGGAAAACAATCTTTATGAATGGCGTTCACAGCATCTCAAAGCACAATATGCTTTCGCTCTGACAGTTCCAGATCAACAAACAAAGCTAGAGCTTGAGCAAGGCTTGAGTATCTTTTGGTATTTTCTGCAGGAACAGATGCATTCAATGACACGTTTGCGGCGAATACTAGTTCTTCGGTTTTGGAAACTACTTCTGCAACTCGTCTTTTTGTTTTGTTTTGGTTGAGCAGCTTGCAACATCTTTCTGGGGCCGACCGCGAGTAGAATTTTCATTGGAATCATCGTCAACATTTGTATCGTAAGCAGGCAATTCAATTGATGACATCAACCAAGCATTATATTTTTTAAATAAAATACTTCTTTACTCTATGACACTTAACCCACATGGAGTTCAATTTTAAGCACTACATGACGTAAAATGAGTGCAAATTCTTCAAAACGTGCTCAGGTGTGTCATCCGATAAACATGATGCCAAATAGCGGAAAACACATGGCGTTCTTTTGCTTTCCTCACATGTGACCCTTTGTTAAAAAAAATCTGCTGATTTAAAAGCAATTGGCGTAGTCCTACAAAAGGTTAAAAATCTGGTAGAGTTGCAACCTTATCGTTTTTGCAACTCTACCAGATTTTTAACCTTTTGTAGGACTACGCCAATTGCTTTTAAATCAGCAGATTTTTTTTAACAAAGGGTCACATGTGATGAAAGCAAAAGAAAGCCATGTGTTTTCCGCTATTTGACGTCATGTTTATCGGATGACACATCTGAGCACGTTTTGAAGAATTTGCACAAATTTTACGTCATGTATTGCTCAAAATTGAACTCCAAGTGGGTTAAGGATTAATCAAATCAACATGGTCTTGTAAAGGACACTTGTCTATGAAAAGTTTGGGGTGGAACTCGATGGAACTTTTTTTGAATCGTTAATCAAAGTTTGAAAAGTGTTTTTAAGATGATCAAATTCTACACAAGCTATTCGTTCCTGTTTATCCGAACTGAGACCAAAATTAATCCAATGGGCAATTGTAACACACTCTACTGACCTTGACTGTTATGGTCCATTTTACTGGAATTGATTTTACGCAGTAGAAAACTTTTCCGAGTATGTTGAAAAACCGTGAAATTTCTAGACGATATTCGAGTTTGTTTTCCTCTCTGAACACTGACAGTTCACATGGCTGTAATAGTAGTTGTGATGCTTTCTCAAGCTAACCAATACTTGTATACATTGCAGGGGGCATCCATAAACACTTCTCAGTAGTTAGTAACCAAATTAAACAAAGTGAAAATCGATTTTTGTCTATGGGCGATGATTGCGATTTTTGTCTATATGCGAATGATTGACCATAACAGACATTTGTTTTTTTTTTGCTATTTGGCCTGAAAATGCTTTTGTGTGACAAGGAAATTGAGAAGGGTCCCTTCTGATTTGTTTTTCTAAACGTATAATTTGTTTTATGCGGTTATTTTATTTGAGTCCTTCTACCGTAATTCCAACCCTCAACTTTAGCTCCTTCTGTGACAGGATGATTATTTTATAATTCTGTTGTATGTGTGCAGTCTCGTAAGTTGGTTATATTCTATTTACGATACAAAATTTGTACTTACTTTATTTGTTCCCATATGTCTATCCCAAAGTTTTTGAGTACTAGCAGCTCCAGTGCATAATTCACAAATCCGTACTGCAGCATAACCGGGCGCCAGCGGTTTCCACATAGTCGTTCAGCATAAAACACAAATTGAGACGCAAAAAAAAAAAAAACAAAATTGAAAACGACATTAGTTTAGAAAAGATTTTTCAACACACATCACAAGTGTCTTAATTTTTATTTCACCCGAACACAAGCATAAGCCACTCGCGGCAGCCGTCACCCACACCCATGCCACCTCAGCACCGTCATACGATATGCACCTAAATCGGTGTTTTCTCTTAGTTTTAAATTTTCATTAAAAACTTTTCCGTACGTGTGGCTCGTGCAAGCGATGCGAAGTGGCGGCGGGGCGGTCGGCAAGAGTTGAGCAAGAACGACGAGCACAATTTTTCTCACTGGTAATTAAATTAATCTTATCCTTGCCCAGAGCCGCGAGTGAGTGCGCTAGTGAAAATGTCTTTCTTTGGGATCTTGTCCAACAAGAGGCACCATTAGAGAGGGGACACTCTGTATCATTTTGCTTACCATTTTTATGGCTGTGATTTTATTTTAATCTTGACGAGATTTACAGGATCAAATTACACGCCACGCAGGTTCTCTCCTCCCTAATGATCTGAGCGACTGCCGCTGCTTCGGTTTAATTATCCTCAGATTTGCCCATCCACTTCTCTACTTGGTTTGAGCTGTATAATCGTATTGATTTTCACTTATTTGTAGGGCGCTGCTCACAGTAAATAACAGACTGCCCTATTCGTCTCGTTTGGCGTTCTGGTTCGGCAGGCTTTAAAGTTCTGCCCAGGAGCAACAAGCTGCAACTTTTCGCACTTTGGCTTTTCTACGAGACACCCAGTAACCGGGTGTGTAAGTTATTTCCGTTTGTGGGTGGTGGGGTTGCAGCAAAACCGCACACTAATACAATCGATCCATCATCGGGGCCATCGCATCGTGCAAGTACCTACTAGTCGTCGTCGTCGTCGTCGTCGTCATTAGTGGTCTGTCCCGACTGGTTGTCTCTTGCTTGCTGGGCTGGGGCTCCTATGTCCTATGTGCTTCAACTGTTGCCACAGGGGCCTGCTATGGCGTGTATTTTTCTTTCAATATCATTTTACCCTGCTGCAGCAGTTGTGGCTCCGTGCCTGCTTGGGACCGGTCCAAGGGATTTGGTGCACTGCTGACTGGGGACTGCTGCCTTTTCCAGTTCGGTCTGAATTATGCGCCTTTGATCGTACGTGGAGCGAAGCACTCACTGCTGGTTGGACACATGTTTTAATCACTGTTTGTATGCGTTTACACTGTTGGGTTTTTGCGTTTTGGCAGGCTGCAGGACGATTACACTAGCCACTGACTGGGTCAGCATGAAATTGTATGAGTGAATGGTATTGATTGGTTTGCGGCAATTTGAAATTCCCAACTGTGGAGATTGCAGATTGTGTTTGTTGTTTGTTGATTGGGGGACATTGAGGGAACAACACCTGGCACGATTCTTCAAGATCATCATGATACCATGGAGACGAATGGTGTGTTTTATGATGGACAGGCTTAGGAATCAAGAATTCAGCAAACAGGTGGATGAAATCTAAGGAATTCAGTTTTCCAGTTGTAAGGAAAATCAGCAACATTTGCTTGTTTTGAAGCCGTTTGTAGTTATTTAATGTTTCAAAACTTGTTTGCTTATACCAAAGTTGGGGAAGGAGGGGCATAGTAAACAGGTGGGGCATAATGAGCATCCTGCACTCTAGCCTCAAACATCCAAATGTTCAAAACAAACCAACTGGTAGTGGGTTCTATGATAGTGCTGTGGTTGTGGATAGTCGCCGGTAGTCGACGACTACTTAGCTGCAAACCGAAAAAAAAAATTTTACAAAATAGGTAAAATACAGCAATCTAATGAGAGCAAAATCTCACCGCAAATGTTAAATATTCAAAATACACTGCACCCAGGTCAGTCCCCTCGAACACTGCGCCCTCAATTAACAAGTTCGATGAAAAGTTTCAAAAATATTAAATTTGAAATAAATAGCGTCTGAATTACATGTTCATGTAAATTTAAAAATCAGTAAATTTAGACAGGTTCAAGGAAAAGAATTATTCTTAAAAAATAATTTAAGCGCCCCGCTTACGTTCAGGAAGTGGCTTACACCTTTGGTAAACATGTACGTGTAAAAATAATCAATCAAAAATGGTAAAATTGAAGTGCCCCTGATCGGGGAAAAATTAAAAAAAGTAAGAGGTTGTATCCGAGACACGACCGTAGATTTGACGTAGGATCACGAAAGGTAGTTATGATGATTAAATTGATTTCTTAACTCGTTATCAGTGAAAAATTTCGATAGGTTAAAATTCGGAAGCAATTTGAGAGTTCTGTTTGTGAGGTGCTTTGTCGATGTTCATGTAGTACAAACCAATTCTGGACGATATGTCTTGGATTCAAGCTCTTACTCTTTAGTTTACTATTTTATTAGTCATTTGTGGTCCTGATAAGGACCGATGGGATGGAAGCTAGTTAAGAACAATACTGTGGAAATTTTTCCTCAATGTTTTTGGAAATGAAAGCGGTGCGGAAATGAAATGTTTAGGGGAAATGGATGTAATGTCGGCCTAAATGCCCCTAATTTGGGCCCATACATAAATTCTCAATGGCGACCAAAAATATCCATTAGTACCATCTAGATAAAATAACAGATCTTTAGCGATGGGCCAAATCTTAGATCCATAGGCCAACATTAGAGCTGTTTCCCCTTTTAGGGAAAACACATCAATCACAGAATATGAGCCTACCGGACGGTGCCAACACTTATACTTTTTGATGCAAATTTTAAGCCCCCTCTGTTAAGAGAATTCGGCAAACTTTTTTTTTTTGAATAATGCTCTTAATAGGAGGGGCTTAAAATTTGCACCAAAAGGCATAAAGATCGGTACCGTCTGATATGCTCTGTGCTTAGTATCAATATTCGGCGACTGTGTTGGGGAAACCACTTTTCCCATCACGAAAATGCCTCGTTTTCTGATGACAAAATTACGCAATTACGTGAATTTTTTTTATTGAATAGATAATAAAAAAAGCGAATATTGATTGAGGAATTTCTTGCTCAAATTTTTCCAATCGCGATCAATCATATAAATTCGAGATGTTTTTGCTTTTTCTAGCGTTTTGGATAAAACCTCACGAAGTGTCTCTGTTTGATTGACATGGTCATGTGGTATTCGGTCATTACGACAATTTGTATGTACCACTTCAATACTATTACGCATTTGATGACAAACGTTTGGTTGCTGGGTACATTATCAAAGAGCTTTGGGGATTTACGACCGTTTTGTCGTAATGGTTGAGTAATGCTGAGCTATTAGAGTGTTTAACACGGATGAGGCTGGCGAGCTGTATGTTGTTTGGAGCAAGGGTGACGCGCTTGGCATAGATGACCCACAGCGACTCACGAAGAAACTGATTTCAATCCATAGCGGTGCGGTTTCTTCCTCCTTCTATGGATGCTCATGTGGGCTCTGCAGCTCGCTGCTTGCAGGCTGCCTTTCGTTGTGTACTGGAGAACAATGTTCAACGCCAAACGCTGAAAGCACTGCTGCTGCTGACACCGACGACCGGACACCACCCCACACGGTGATTGAATGAGCACCGTTCAGTGAGACAGGATCGAATTCGATTTTTAAATCTGTGTTGCAACAGTTGGACATTTGTTTTTTTTTGCAATAGTGACCTATTGAAAATTAATAAAGTGATCATTTTTCAGATTAGTAGATAAATTTGCAATCGATTGGTTTGTTTAGAATTAAAATCCATCTGCTATTGACAGAGTTATATGTGGTCAAAACCTGACCTCTTTTCGTGATGCGGTCGATTTTGGTTTTTTTTTTAATTGCACCCCCAATATGTTGCCGAAATACGTAATCCTACGTCAAAAAAAGGTTAAATAATACCACTGAACTGTTAAAAAGTTCATCTGATTGAGGTTAACCTTTAACGGTGCATATCCTGATTGGCGGACAAAAGTTGGCGCTACTTAGTGGCGTAAGATAGAAATTTTGACCTGATGATGCTTTCAAAATTCTTTCACGGTGAGGTATGGGAGAAAAGTTTGGAATCATAAAAAAAAAGATCGACATCACTTCGAAAAGTACTGAATCAATTAGGAAAATAATTAAATCACTTCATAAAATTCGGAATCACTTCAGAAAGTAGTGAATCACATCAGAAATGTTTGGAATCACTTCTGAACGTACTGAATCGATTCAGAACAGTTTAAAATCATTTAAGAAAGTACCGAATCACTTCAGAAATGTTAAGAGTCACTTCACAAAGTACTGAATAACTTCAGAAAAGACCGGAAACACTTAATAAATATTAGAAATCACTTTGGAAAATTCTGAATCATTGCGGAAAGTTCACTTTGAAAATGATTTAATCACTTCGGGAAATACTGAATATCTTCAGGAATGTTCAGAATCACTTTGGAAAAGTTCATGATCACTTCGAAAAGTACTTAATTATTTCAGAAAGCACTGAATCACCTCGGAAAGTATTGAATCACTTTAAGCTCGGAATCGCTTTGGATAGTATTGAATCATTTCAGAAAATTTCTGATTCACGTTGGATATTACTGAATCTCCTAGAAAGTTTTTAATCATGTCCGCAAGAACGGAATAGCTTCGAAAATAGTTGAATCAGTTAGGAATGCACTGAATCACTTCAGGAGCGTTCGGAAATACTGAATCGCTTCAGAATGTACACAATCACTTCGGAAGGCACTGAATCATTTCACAAAGTACTGAATCGCTTCAGAGAATCAATCACTTTCGAAAGTACTGAATCATTTCAGAAAGAATTCAATTTGCAACAATTTGAAATCAATTCTGAAAGTAATAAATCACTTCAGAAAAGCTCTGAAAATCTTCTGATAGTATTGAATGACTTCTGAATCCCTTTTGAAAATACTTAATCTTTCCAGAAAGTTTGTAATCGCTTCCCTAAAAACTAAATAATTCCGGAAAGAACTGAACAACTTCACAAAAATTCGGAAAGTACTGTATCAATTCTCTCGAGTTTAAAATCACTTTTTCAAGAGCTGAATCACTTTGTAATAACTTTATCACATCAGAAATTTTCACTTTGGGAAACAGAATCATTAAAAAAAAAGTTCAAAATCGCTGTACTGAAACACTTAAGAAAATCTCGGAATCAGTTTGAAAACTACTGAATTACTACCATCACAATTTATAACTACTCAAGATATCACAAATCCACCATCTCCAGCATAAATTGAACAGCAACGAAGAAACCAAATTGGTAATAATTTATAAAAAGCCAGAGGTATTCTGAGTAAAACGCATAAAGCGAATCCATATATCTAGATAAACATTTCAAAAGGTCCTATCTGCATTGATCGATTCTCTTCATCGACTTTCTCTTTCGTCAATATCTCAGCTGCAAAATCTTTCCCTGTTGTATTTGACGTTTTGGGCGCTAGATAAGAACCTCCTTTATCAAACTATGTGGTAGAATTAGCGCGAAAACTGTTTGCATAGCAGTGGTTATGAAAAGAGAAAGTCGATGAAGAAAATCGATCAAAGCAGATAGGACCATTTGAAATGTTCATCGAGATATATCATCATATCTAAAATCTTCCCCTAATTTAACCTAGTACTTGTGACTTAAGAAGGGGGCCTCAGAGAAACAAAAGTTCGTTGCGCCATTGCTTCGGTTAACGCAGTAAGGGCTTCATAGTGCGGAGCTTTTGATTTGATAACCTACGGGTAGTTTTGGGAACTTTGTTTTGCCCAAGAATTTTTATTAAAATTCAAGAAATGGTTCAAGGTTTTTCCTGAAATTAGGAGAAAATCAAGTTTGATATGAGATAAATAAGAAAACACAAATTATGGTGCTTTGAAAATGTTGACGGAACTTTTGAAAACTAATCATAATTTCAAAATCAAAGGATAAAGGAACTTTGTAGATATTCAAGGAACATTACAGCGATCTTCCTCCCCTGGGGTTTTTGTTGCGTAGCAAATGCCACCTTCACCACCTTTAGAGTACGGTCGAAGACAACAAATCAAGAAGACTGGCAACTTTGTCAGAACCCAAGCGACAGGTACAATAGCGCTGCGCTTGAGTGAAGGTGGAAGCAACGCATAGAAAAATGAGCAAATACACAAACCTTTCTTCTGAGGATGTAATCTTTGCTATCAAATTCGTTCGAAGCATTTACCTTTGAGCGGCAGATGACGCGATTGTACCTGTCTCATAGCGTATGTATGAGAAAATGGAAGAGTTGCCAGTCTTCTTGATTTGTTGTCTTCGGTACGGTGCTGCTCGATAAAGTGCAAATGTTT